TATTTTGCTCAATCACCGATCTAGCTTGCTTGGTTCGCTGATCCAGATTATCTGGATCAGGATCGATGGGTGAATTTTTAAAACATTGGTTTAATAAATTATTTTCTATAATGACTTGAATGGGACAAACTACAAACCATCCAACCTAATCCAGTTTGTCACTTGTTGACAAGTGACTTGGTATAAGTAGTATTAGCACATTCAAGATAATCTAACTAAACTTCCCTAGAGTTAATTTTGTTTGCATGTAGTGTATGAAAAATTACAAAACTGAATTATATTGAAGTTTCCCAATCTTGCTATGTTGTATTTCAATCTGCTTTCTTGCACTAACATGGTTGTTAAATAGGAAATCTCTCTCAGCAGAGTTCTCTCTGGGAGAGAAATTCCCTAGAGGTGGGAAATCAGATTCATTACTTGCAAGGTATGAAGCCGCTTTCCCAAAAAATGCTGTTAATTTGTATTTTAACATTCCCTTGGTGCTTTCCAAGGTGTTGTTTCCTATGAAACGAACATGGCAAAGTGGCATGGTCAACAAAACACTCACCCTTAGAGAAATTTTCTATGTAACAGACATGCCCTTGCCGTCAATATTTGCACATGTTTTGACAAAGTGAATGCTATTAACCCAATCTCGTTGTCTTCAAACATAACAACCGGGGGCCTTCCTTTTCTATTGCATTTTTTGGTTTGTGAAGCCCTTTTCCGACGAGCTGCTTGGGTTTCATCATAGTTGCGAGTGATATTTTATATGATGTTCTGTACATTTTAGGTCTCCAAGATGATTCAAGTTAACCTCAAGCTTTCTATATTGTCATGCCATTCCATGTTTAATGTATTGACTGTCATCCATTTTTTGTTGCTGTGAACAGTGTTTTTTGGGGTAAATTTTAATTCTAGTTAGTTTATTGGTTCATCGCAGGGTATTGTCCAATACATTGCAACATCACACTCTTCATGCATTTAGAAAAGTGCTTGTTTCATCACCTTCATTATTGGAAGTCTTCCGCGAAGAAGGCTTATGGGATCTTATCTTCTCAGAAAACGTTTTCTACTTTGGTCTTGGTTCTGAAGGTTTTGCTCAGGAGATGCATTTGAATCTTGAACTGGCTCCTACTGATTGTGAACGCTTTGCTACTTCTAAACCATCTGCCAACCAATTAAACTCAATTGAAGTTGAGATTCTTTATATGGAGATTGTAGCGTTTGTCGAGTTTGTTGCAACATTCAATGGGATAAGCAATAACTTGGTGTGTTCGTCTTCCTTCTTGGTGCATATTTCATTGTCATGAAGGCTATCGTCTTCGCATTAAGTTGATCTGTGTTTGTGAAAGCATTTTGCTTGCATGAGAGTTATGGATATTACTTGACCAAAAATTTGAGTTAACTGCTAAAATTATTTGGAAGGAAGATGCTGCCCAGTGTTTTGTGTTCCTGTGTATATGTATACTTGATTGTGAACCAGATTTTCATTTGGTCTCCTGTGCTTTTTATCGGAAAGGAAAATCCTTGCATATTGGGATGAATGATTTCTGATATAAATTGACATCTCCCTTCATTGCCTTTAACCATCTTTATTTTTGCCATATGCATATTTGCTTTTGTGCATGCATACTTGTTTCACCCGTTTTCTCCAATAATTTGATTTAAAGATGGCTATATAACCATCCTTCCAAATTAAAGTTGACAAGAAAATTTGGGTTTTTATTTTCTTTTGGAACTGTTAAGATCGATTTAAAAAAAAAAAATCCTTCGGAAAATGTTGTGTTTCTATGTAAATGTCCCAACTTTCTTTATATATTTTATGTAGTTTATCATTTCATGTTTTCTTTATTGTGGCATGCATGATTCTTTATTATTTCCTGTAATGATTCTTATGTTACAACATCTAGATAATTGTACGTTTAGTTGTAAGTGGCTTCTGTATGAATGCCTCTCTATTTTTCAATCTTAATGTTTGCATTGAAGTAAGAAATAATCTTCATTTCATAAATTTGTATGAAGCATTTCAAGTTTGGAATGTGGCTATGTTTATTCTAACTATATTTATTTGTTTGTGTATCAAGTCATATGTGTATGTGCGTGCGTGCTTGCGCTTGTATCAGCTAAATTTTTCTGTACTCCTATTTTTCCAAAACAATTATGTTTAGGATGCTATGCCTTTTTTTTTCCTTCTATAAATGTTGCCCCCATCAGAGTGAGGAAGAAGCATGATTAGTGGGTCTTAGTTGAAGACGAGCTCAGTTGTTTCATTGGTCTCGTAATCACCGAATTTTTATTTTTTTTTAAACTGAAATGTTCGTTTGCCTATCATTGGTTCACTTGCTAAATTGTCCAATTTCCATCAGCCGGATTGGGCAAGATCATGGTGCAGCACAATTAAATACATTTGATATCATTCAAAGATTAAAGATCACCAAGGTTGTCTTCCAAATTCCTGTGGACGACTTGTATTTGAATTCGTCAAAGGATGTCACATTCAATCAACATGTTTTTGCACTAGGTTGGGATGCAGTTCCTACCTTTGACAATGTTCAAGATAGATGCTTGACAAATTTTGCTGTATTTGATGACATTGTAATAGGATTCTATCTCCATACTTAATGGCATGGAGTTTTCCATTTCATTCTCTACATTTTGGGATCCTAAAAAATTAAAGTGGTATTATAGCTGTGATGAAAAATTCGGCTGCCTGGCCGCCTAGGCAGTCTAGGGGGCCAACCGCACCGAATAGGGCCTAGGCAGGGCCCTATTCTGTTATGTCTCTTGGCACTCGCCTAGGTGCCCTTGGGCTGCCTATGTGACATGAAGACACCACTGGGCTGAGGGCGGAAAAAAGGCCTTCGGCCATGGGGGAAAAAATGTCATTTAGCCCTCAAAAATGGCAAAATGAGGGGAAGGAGTTTTGGGGGACATTTTCACCAACTTAGTTATGTGGATTTGGAGCGCTTTAAAAAGACCTCGAAAGGCAAGAATTTGCGACTTCTTTGAAGATTGAAAAAAATGCAAAATTTTTTATTTCTTTCAATATTAAAAAGTATACAATCAAATAATGCTTCTTGAGACTTGAAGTCATCGCAGAAGAGGTCTTTCGGCAGCCAAAGGTGATTGATTTAAGCAATGTTTGATTGGGTGTTGCGAGGTTGGTGCATTTCATTTCTTAGTTTAGGGTTTTCTGATATCTATGACTGTTGGGTATCATAGTTTAAAAAAGCGCTAGGCGGGTCCTAGGCAACCTGAGGGGTCCAGGCCGCCCAGTGCCTAGGCGGCGCTCAGAACCTGGGAGGCCCAGTCGAATCCAAAAAGGATGCCTAGTCAAAGATGCTACTAAGGACTAAAAGCTTCTAAAAAACCCCCCAATAGATTTGTAAAACATAGAAAATTAAATCTAATATCAATGGGTGATGTTTTGATCAATTTTTTTCAACTTTGAAAAAAAAAAATTTTCGCCTTTGGGCCGCGGCAGCCTAGGTGGGACACAGGCCCTGGGCTGGGTGTTGGGCGCCCGCCTAGGCGGGTTCCGTACCGCCTAGGCGGCTGCTCAGGGACTGCTGCCCAGATTAGCCGCCTTGGCCTAGGTGATGTGCCCAGGCCTTCTGGACCGCCTAGGCAGTCCTCTTTTTGAATCACTGTTGGGTATTGATTTGTTGTTCTTTACAAATTTGGTTATTGTTTATGTGGATTGTTTTTCACTTTATTATTTGTGTAATAGAAAATTGACGTAATGAATGAATCTCAGGCAGTCCACATGATTTTTATTGATTTAGAGAAAACATACGATAGGGTAATTGGAGATTCGATTTGGTGGGTCATGAAAAAGAAAGTAGATACCAGAAGCTATATTGACATAGTGTGAGATATGTACGAGGGAGGGCTAACTAGTCACGGATAACTAGTGGAGTGGCAAATGCGTTCTTAGTGACAATGGGCCTATATCAGGGGTCAGAGCTGAGCCCATATCTCTTTGTTTTGGTTATGGATGAGTTAACCAGGCACCTGCAAGATAAGGTACCGTGGTGTATGTCGTTCGCAAATTATATGGTTTTGATCCATGAGACTAGAGGTGGCATCAATGCAAAGTTGGAATGTTGGAGGGATGTTCTGGAATCTAATGGTTTTAAAATTAGCCGGATTAAGACAAAAAATATTAAATGCAAGTTTAGTAATAAATAAGAGTGGAAACTAGGAAGTAGTTAAGATTGATGGTCAAGAAATACCTAAAAGAGAGATTTACAATATCTAGGGTTTATAATTGAGTAGAAAGGAGAGAATGAGGAAGATGTCGTACATAGAATTAGAGATGGGTGGGCAAAGTGAAGATATGCATCTGGAGTTTTATGTGATTGCAACATACCATAGAGGTTGAAGGGGAAGTTCTATAGGACAGCTGGAAGATCGACCATGCTTCATGGGATGGAATTTTGGGCAGTCAAGAAATAACGTATCTATAAGATGAGTTTACGTGAGATGAGGATGTTGAGATGGATGAATGGCAAGAAAAGAAGGGGTAGAATTCAGAATTATTACATATGAGAGAACTTAGGTGTGGCTTCACTAGGCGACAAGACGAGGGAAGTAGACCTAGGTGGGCTGGCCATGTGCAGTGTAGTCCTAATACAACACCGGTTAAGTAATATGATTTAGTTCATGTGGAGAGCTCTAAAAGGGCAAGGGGAAGGCCCAAAAGGGCATGGATAGAAGTAATGAGAGAAGATATGATGACTTTTAATTTTACTGCCCTTGATAGAGAAGAATAGAGGAACATGATTCATATAGCCGGCCCAAATAATTGGGATAAGAATTGGATGATGATGAATATTGGGCAGTTTTGTAGTTATTCAATTTCACTGGTCAAAACCACATATGTTTAAGTTTGAACTGTGCAATAAAATAACATACAAACAAACTATGAAACAATATTCTTTAACAAAAAATGGATGTTTTATGCACACAATCATGGGGACTGTACAAAAAATGGATGTTTTATGCACACAATCATGGGGACTATCGCCAATGGGACCCTGCAAATAGCATTCTTAAGGGCTAGAGCCCTAGACGGCGGCCACCACCCCCTTCCACCCCCCCCCCCTTCTCTCTCTCCTTTCTCCTTTCTCCTTTTACAGGCTGCCCACATGCTATTCTCGGCTTCCAAATCTGCTTTCTTGAACATTGTGTATAGCATATGGGTACTATTTATAAAAGGGATGGCACAACAATGAGAAGGAATTTATATGGGTCATTAAAACCTACGGTGCCCTAAGAAACATCCAATTTCCCATCTTGTTGTCTGCATTTCTTAGTCATGCACATTATTCCAGTTAAGTGATTGATTGGATTAACCTCATTGATACTGTGCTGTCTCGGTGTTGTTTTTTTTTTGATAAACGTTAACTTTTGCATTGCTTTATAGAAAGAGAGTACAATTTTGGGTTAATCCGAGGGTACCCTCTAGTCGGGACTCTCGGTAAAAAGGAATAGGTCAACAGACCCTGTACAAAAAATGGGGTTATAAGATTGTCCCCTTACAAAGTTTACAGTGAGTTTACAAAAATGGGCCCTTTGCAAAGTTTACAGTGAGTTTACAAAAAATGGGCTTAAAAGGTTACCCGTACACAGTTAGGTCTTCTTCTAAGTGTTGTCTCGGTGTTGTTCTCTGTGTTGATTTCATATATCTCATGATTGGGTGTTGGGTTCAATTATTTCATGACTGACCGCTGTATTTTTTAAACTTTGTGTGCATTTCCATGACAGCCGGAATGCTTGGTTCTACTTGAAGCTCTGGAGCAATGTTCTTGCATCCCTGAAATTGCTAGTGTTCTTGCGAAGAGCCTTCACCGTATTTTACAACTCGCTGTTGAACAAACTGGTGCATCATTCAAAACATCGGATGCTGTATCGCGGCTGCTAAAAGTTGCATATATTCAGGTACTCGAATTCAGAAAAGTGGTAAGTTCTTATGCTTACTCAGAGAATGAGGCATGCGGAATAGAGGTTCGGTCGCATGATCTGTGGATGGCTCATTACACTGCAACGGTCAAAATTTGGAATCAGTGTCTCGAAGCGTCTTTTGAACTCTTCACTGATTATCTCTGCATTTCAGATGATGCCAAAGATTTGGCATTGCACAGTTCCAAATGTGTTGACTGCTTGTTCAAGTTGTTCTGGGATGACAGATCTCGGAAGTTTGCCCTGAAGCACATACTCCTTTTACTTAAGGTATCAAGTAATTTCTGTTTTCAGATTTTATTTCCAGTGTACTTCTTTTACGTTGCCTTTCAGTGGAATGCGATGGCATTATTCATTGCTAACATTTGTGGCATGCAGTTACCACCATCCTCCGAGGAGGATCGGGTGGCAAAGTTGCAGTTGTGTTCCAAATTTTTGGAAATATTCCCTCGTGTGCATGAGAACGAAGAACAATTTGTAGATTTGGCAATCGATCTGTTGGTTGCTATAAGAGATATGCTTCAAGTTGATCAAATGGTAAGTCATTTAATGTTCAAATATGCTGTCACATTTAAATTGTGTTGATGATTTCTTTTATAATAATATTTGTTCTGATCTGGTACCGTCTATCGAGCCAAATAGCTTTGGGGATGATAATACAGTATGCTCTCCATTTAGATTTCGTTTTTCTTTTTACAGTACTACCAGGCATTGTTCCGTGATGGGGAGTGCTTCTTGCACATAGTATCTTTGTTGAATGGTGCCTTTGATGAAAGAAGTGGAGAACAGTTGATTCTGAATGTTCTTCAAACGTTGACATGTCTCCTTGCTGGCAATGAAGCCTCTAAGGTAATCTGTATGGTTTTCTGTTAATGGCTTGTGTGTGAAGTCTGTTAACATCTATTCAGATCAACTGTTATATTTTCATGTGTGCGTATCTGCATATGTGGTTGTTGTGATTCTGGAGTTTTCTTCTGCATTATAATTATAAGTCTCAACAAGTATGAACCTGGGAATAAATCTGGAATAGTGTTTCCTAGATCCCTTGGAATTTGTTATGGTATTGTGTAATATTCTTTTTTGAAAATGTTTGCTTTTGTATTGTGTAATATTTTGTCTGTAAAAGAATTAATCTCTCATTAACGAGCAGTAAGCAAACTTTGGGGTTTCGTATTTGGTCTTTTTGGGTTTATTGGTTCCTACTAGCATTGGTGATGATTTACCAAATATTGGTGATCTTACGGAAGCTGGGAGTATTGGCAATTCTGTGGGCGGCATGGATTGAACAGAATAATGGATCCTTCAACAACAAGGTCTCAGTTTGGAAAGGCTGAAAAATACGGTCATGGTCATGATAATTTCATGGCAGGAATGAAGTATGGGGTTATTCAGTTTCAGATATTGAGAGTTGTCTCAAGGGGTTCAACATTAATCTGAACTTCAATGCAAGCTCATTGGGAAACCTTAGGCCTTATGAACTTAATGGAGTATTGAGAGACCACCATGGTAGGGTGATTATTGAAAGGTGGACTAAGTGATTGGGCAAGTCAATACCGATTAAAATTTCTCTACTCTTTTAAACGTATTGCCATACGGATCACTTACAAGTGTCCAAAATATAACTTTGACTCAATGAAATAGCCAAGACCTCTCACTTGCTTTCCATTAAAAGAAAATTACATTTATCACGTAGATCTGAAAAATTACATAAGGAAGCAATAGAAGCAACAAAAACACGAAATGTGAAAGCAGTACCTTGCCTCAGGTTACCCCCAAGGACTTCGTAGTTTATACGCCCCAAACCGGGTCTCCTCCACCGATGGCGCACGGGATCTTTGCTTCAAGAACACACTTCACAGTTAGGGAAGCCTAGGCAAAACCCTTAGAGAGCATCACATGGGATTTCCTTTACTAAGGCTCAACACATGAGCATGAGGAAAGGATGTAGGGTTAGGGCTTGTGTGGCTTGGGCATGCCACCCCTTAGGGTTAACTCTTTTCTAAACCCTAATTTGGATTAGAGAAGAAGAGAGAGAAGGCTTGAATGGGGCGTGCTCCCTTTGGTTGCTTAGAGAGAGAGAGACAGAGAGATTTAAAATAGGATTTCCATAACTAATATTTATAGACAAGAGGCTAAGGTTTCTAGGGTTGGGGTTTTGCCATCATTATGAGGTTTAATCTTGACCTTTGATCTTGGAGACCTATGGGGTGAAGAGATCTCAACCATTCATTCCCTAAATCAGCCATCATGATTAAAAGAATGATGTGGAACTTTATCCCTCAGTTTCCATAACTCTATTCCCATCAAATATTTTGTGTAGAGAAAGTAATCAATCCATCAAAATTAATTTCTTACACGTTCCTGCTTTGAAATCAATCACAATCAATTTCTTACACCATCCTATTTTGAAATCAATCACAATTAATTTCTTACACCTTCCTATTTTGAAATCAACCAAAATCTCTACATAAAAAATATTCCTAAAATATCAAGTCAACATATGGCATAATTGCCATCTTTCAATTTAGGAGAGTATGGAGGAGGTGGATGGTCATATGGCCTCACACCACCACAATTTGGCGACCTTATGAGCCAAATGGCCCCCCTAATTCTCAGATAATAAAATATTTTTTTATAAAACCTCCAAATATTTTATTTTTATTTATGATTAAAATAAATCCAGGAAATTGATTTTTCTCTTGTAAATATCATACTTCAATAAAAATAAAATGCCTAGAGAGGTCTAAAAACTTATTTTAATTATCTGAAAAAATAATTAAAACATATATAAGAAAGTTTGATGGGAATTGGATCCATAGAGTTAGGATTACGATAAATATACTGAGGAGTCCATCCTCTCTAGAGACTGCATCTCACTGCATCTTCTCAAACTGACCCAACCGATCCCATGAGCCACAGCCCATCGTAGGGGTTCATGATTTGACCATCAAAGTCAGCCAATAAGTGGAGAAAATACAATCCTAGACCATGGATTACAGGTCCCTCCCTGCGGACAAGTCCAGTGCCCGTTTCAACAATATGCTCCATGAGTCCTTCCAACACAGTCCAGTGTTGCAGGGACTCATCTCTTTCGCACATGTACACATTACACACACCCTTATCCACAAGGTCGCTTCCCGGATGGCTATCTAATGTACATGCCGTGTGATAAGGATTTAGGCCCTTGTCCTCTCAGGCCATCCATCACACACGAGTCAAATCTATGTCCCCTGACCAACTGTCCTGGGCACATCTCCGACCTCATCTAGGGATAACCCCATATCAAAACCCTTATCGGTTGTTCTTACACGATGCTCAGGACTACGGGTTTTGGACTTCACATTAAGTTATAGCTAGTCAAAACTCATGTGAGTCTATGGCATTATCAATGCCTTACCGTCCAAGTTGGACTATACTCCCACTGGAGTCAATAATTCATTATATATTTTCAGTGCATGCTCTCATAAGGCCTTTAAATGGCCACAAGACCCCAATAATTATGTCCTAGACATGGCCCCTGCCCAGCTTTGATTCAAATGAGGCCGAGGTGAGAACATTTCTTGTAGGTCTTGGATTTTTAAAGTCCAAATGGAAAATAATTATTATTGACGGGGATTCTGCTTATGTCATTGCTTGGATTAGTTGAAAGAAAGAGAGACCAAGAAGACTGCACCATGAGTTGCAATAGATACTTAACAAAATACTCACAAGTTGTTTCTTTGATATCAATTTTCTACAGGGCATAACTGGTAAATTGATTCTGATTAACATAGAAAAGTTATGCATAAAAGGGGGGAAAAAAGCAAAAGGGTTATCTATTGAACTATATGATTTTCTATTGTGCATTAATACTTTTAAAAGTCATGTTTTTCTATCTGAAATGAATTAGAATCAGTAATGTATACATGTGTATGCTTACCAGCACGTGACCGCTGCTTAAAGGGTTATTTGTGCTAGAAATATTATGGGCCGTGTGCGGGTGGGCGGGCACGTTTGTGTGTGATACGGTCCATTAGTCGTGTGTGCCATCTGGCCATGTTAATATTGTCAACACGAGGTTATTGTTGGTCCATGAATGGGTTGGAAGGTGATGGAGGGAGAGGGTCCCACCAACAAAGTCATTAATTCTTCTATGCCTCCATTAATGTCCAACCATTCATTGGATGGTGAAAGCCCGAGTGGTCCTTTTGTTCTCATGGCTGTATGCATCATATTGGAAATTAGACACACACGCACATATTTGCATAAAGTCTGCCATTTTATCTGATTCTTGCGCCCATAATTTTGAGAACTATTTTGCATGGATGTGGATACTTGTGCCAGCGTCAGTCTGTGGTATGGGGTTTTGGATTTCCTCATTCCATGAAGAATAGCATTAAGCAACATGGCCATACTTTTAAGAGATGACAAATTCAAATTTTCTTCATTATTATGGTAATATTCTTTCCCATCATGCGTAGCAAACAAATAAAAAAAAAAATAGAAATAAATTATTCCCTAGTTGGCTGAATCCACACATGTTAATATTTTTCTCCTCGAAAGACGGGGGACGTAGTCAATGTTTAGTGAACAAGAAGAATTCAGATTCCAGAAGGATTTGTAGTTTGTGTAGGTGTGCTGATGCATGTCAAACATGACCAATCAGAAGAATCCATGTAACATAGACTTTGAAAGAAATTATAGCGTATCTGGTGTGTGTTATGTGTTTATCCTAGGAAAAGGAGTGTCACTGTCTGCGTCTATAGTCCTTTGAGTGTTATGGCTGTTATTCTGGATTCGACGTTGTTTCATGCGAATTGGTCTTATGCCTCCTGTTTCCTGTGTTATTTAGACAATGCTTTCCTTGTAGTCGAATTGGTGCAATAGTGGGAGTTCTAACATGTAGGAGCCATCAGTTGGTGTTAAAGAAATTTTGGATCATTATGGGTTACTTGATCCATCTATGTTCTTCTGTTTGCCCCTTGTGCCCCAAATCTGGACGGAATCTTGTGTGAAATGGTAATGGTGTCCAAAATGTCTAAGGCTTGGAGAATTTGGAAATCCTTTATGACATGAATGATAAAATATTAATCTATTTATGTTAGAGAAGGGAGAGAGAGAGAGAGAGAGAGAGAGAGAGAGAGAGAGAGAGATGAAAAGAAAAGAGGGAGAACAGAGAGTGGCGTGAGAGTCCCATAAGTCTCAGACACCTCCCAAATCTCTTTTATATTATTCAAATTAGAAAAATGGCAATGCTGCCCATACAAATTGGAAATTGGACATATAGGTGATATTAGCTTAAATAAAAGAGAATAAAGACTAAATAAAAAGGCTTTTGACACTCCCCCTCAAGCTGGAGCATAAATGTCAGATCTTTAGATTTTACATAAGGAGTAAAACACATGCTTACTAATAACCATCTCAAGTGACAATTTGCTTTAATATGTTTAGTTCTTTCATGAAACACCGAATTGTTGATTATCTAAGTTGTTGCTTTGTTATCACAATGCATCTTCATAGGCGTAGCAATGGTGTACCCCAGCTCTTGCATCAGTGTCTTCCGCCACATCAATTCACATGTAATATGTGTCATTGCTCTATATTTAGCGTCTGCACTAGATCTAGCCATAACATTTTGTTTTTTACTACTATATAACTAGATTTTCACCAATAATGCACAATAACTTATGGTGGACTGCCTGCTAGATGGAAAACCTGCCCAATTAGCATTGGAGTAACTTTTAGTGATCAAATGATTATTTGACTTGTAAATCAGACCTCTACTTAGAGCTCCCGTCAAATACTTCAAAATTCTACGAATAAAGTCCAAGTGGAGAATCCATGGAGAGTGTATAAACTGACTCGCTGTACTTACTGCAAAAGCAATATCAGTCCTAGTGATGGTGAGAGACATCAGCCTGCCTGCTGGTGTTATGTACCTTCTTGGATCCTTAAACAACTCCCCCTTATTGGCCAATAATTTATATTTGAATTCATTGGAGTATCGACTATTTTAGCATCTAACATTCCAGTCTCTATCAACAAACCAGTCATGTGCTTTCTTTGAGACTATCTAATGTCATGTTTTATCTGACTACTTCAATTCCTAAAAAATACCTTATGGCCTTAATCGTTTGTCTGAACATATTGTTGTAGGTGCCTCTTCAAATGACTGATTCCTTCCTGACCATTGCCTACTATATCAATATCATCAACATATACAACTAAGACAATTATCTTGGAGTCCTGTTTCCTAATAAACACTGAGTGATTTGGATGACTACATTGAAATCCATATGCTAGAACAATTTCACTAAATTTATCAAACTATGCACTTGGGGACTGCTTCATACCGTAATTGGCTTTCTTCAACTTTCTACCTTGTTTGACCCCCCCATCAATTCATGTGGTTTCTCCTAAGACACCTCTTCTTATAAATCACCATGGAAGCTGCCACAGTGGCCAGCCTATTTTGCTGCTACGTATATAACTACTAAAACTAAATTAAGCTTAGCGTAGGAGCAAAAGTTTTACCGTAATCAATGCCAAAGGTTTGGGTGTATCCTTCAGCAACCAATCGGGCTTTTAATCTCTTGATGGTGCCCATAAGGTTGATATTTTATTGCATAAACCCACTGGCACCCAACAACTCTCTTTCCAGCTGGTAACTCTGTCGGCCCCTATGTATCATTCAAGTTAAGTGCATCCATTTTCTCTTCCCTTACTTTCTTCCACCCAATATGAAAAAGTATATCCTGATATGGCTTAGGGATAGAAAAGATGACAAAGCTAAAGCAAATCTTCGATAGGATGTAGACAAATTTGTATATAAAACAAAATGAGCAATGGGATGTTGAGTACATGATCTTACATCTTTATGGATGACAATAGGTACATTATCATCGCCTGATACAGAATCTAAGTTAGAAGCAGGAAGTGCATCTGTAGGCGAAGATAATGATTGAGGGGCTGGTTAAGTCGGAGGAGGGTATCCATCCTGCATTTTTCTTCTCGTGAAACTCCTTTATGGGTTGCTCTTAAAGGACCACAGGATGCATAGAAGTAATAGGTTCAGCCAGGCCAGGTAACTGAGGTGAAGAAGTATCAATAGGAATAGGATTATGAACAATAGAAGTTGAGGACTTGTGGGACTTCTTCTGGAGTAGGATAAAACTGATGCAAGAAAAAATTGTTCTTATTTTTTATTTTTGTTTATTACAAAGGATGTATATTTTAATTTTGGGACTTATTTTTTATGCTTTTAATTTTTTGGAAATTCTAGTGTGTGTGTTTGTTATTTTTTTCCAGTTCTAGGATTCTAGGAGTTGTTTAAAAAAGTAGTAAGGGTGCTTATAGAATATTTTGTTTTATTAGGTGTAAAAATTTCATTACAAATCTTGTGCTTAAGTTGGGACTATTTAGTCAATTTTGTTTTGTCATAGGTTATTTGGTCTTTTGTAGCCCTGTTAAAATATAAATAAAGGTGCATGAAAGACCTAGCGTTCACAAGAGTTTAGGGAGGGAAAAATAGTTTAACTTGGAGTTCTAGTTAGGGATTTTTGCTTTGGCTTGGAGTCCTAGCTAGGGAATTTTTTTTTTGGAAGGAAACACATGTTCCCTTGAACTTGTTCTTTTGGGGAGTATGCAAACAGGAAGTTTGATGTTCAATTCCATGTTGAGCAAAATAATTTTGAAATTCTTTGGAATGATACTCTTTAGCATTATCAAAAGTTTAGAACGTAAAACATAAACATTCTTATTAATTGAGTTTGGATGTCATTGTGAAACAATTTGAAAATGGAGAAAATCACATATCTTTCTTTTATTAAATATAATCATGTCATTGGTGAATAATTATCCATGAAAGTTGCAAAATATCTATGACTAGTCAAACTTTGTACTCTAGCAGGAGCCTAGATATCATAATGAACAATTGTAAGCAGAACATGTATCTGTTTATCAGTTCTAGGACAAAATGACACCCTATGATGCTTGTCTAACTGAGTAGCCTCACACTTTAAAGTAGACATAGAGGTCTAAAGAAGGGGCTAACAACTGCAAGTTATTGAGGGGAGGATGGCTCAACAAACAATGCCATAAGAAAGGAGAAGCAACAGAGTGAGGAGTACCACCAATAAAATTATGATCCAAATATAGACCACTTGACTCAACTTACCACTAAGTGTCCTCCTTGTCCTTAGATCTTGAAAGACTCAGAAAGAATGGTAAAAAAGGCATGAAGCAATGAAGAGATTTAGTTAATTTGCTCACAGACAACAAACTGAAAAGAAACTTTGGAAAGAGGATAGTGACAGGGAAGTAGGCATAACTGTACCCTGTCCAGACACACTAGACAATGATCCATCAGCCATTGTACTAATGGAATTAGGAATACATTATCTAGAGATACAAGAACAGAGAACTCAACCGTCATGTGGTCAGAAGCTCTTGAGTCAATAACCAAAGGAGTAGGAAGCACAAAAGTACTTGAGTTAGCAAGGGTGGCAGTGGAAGTGGAAGGATGGATACAAAGCTTGCTGTACCTTTTTTGAGGAAAATAATATTTTTTTCTTTTTTTTTGAGGAAAACAAGGCTATTGTACTTGTTTAACAAGTTTAATTTATTTTCTCCTGCAAGCACAATGAATTCACCAGTAGAATTTGATTGTGGTTGACGATCACTTGGCCTATTGAGATGAACATCATCATCCTCAGATGTATTAGTAACCTGATTAACCTAAGCAGGCTTACCAACCTTATCCCAATACTTACCAATTGTATGATTTGTGCACCACAATGTGTACACTTTTTATTTCCATAACCCCTGCTTCCATCACCTCTACCATGACCTCTTCTTGAGTCACTACCATGTCCCCTACCTTTGCCTCCATCACTTCTGCCGCCGATCCATCACTAACACTCGAGTCAGAAGGTGTAGGAGAGGCAAATATATTGACATGTTGAATGTGCGCATGCACATCACTAAGGGACAACAACTTATTACTTGGCAAAATATTTCGACGAACATGATGGCCCTCCGGATTAAGGCTGATAGAACTTTGGCAACTTTGAATTCTTCCTGTTGCTTCCTCTTTCTAATTCTACATCACTAGTTGGGGGCTAATACAGATTCAGCTCTTCCCACATACCTCTAAGAGCACTATAATATTCACTCACGCTCTTATTACCTTGTTGCAATTAAGATATTTCCTCAAACAGTTGATATACACGAGAGATATTAGTATCAGATGAGTATGTTTCTTTTATAGTGCCCCAAATGTCTTTGGCAGTGCCAAGAAACATTACATTTGCACTTATTTGAGACTCCATGTTAGTCCACCAAGTCATGATTAAGTGACTTTCACTCGTGCACTCTTCGCATCTACTATCGGACTCACTAGGTTTGTCCACAATCAAGTATTTCAATTTCCCTATGGCACCAAGGAATACTTTAATGTATTGAGCCCATACAACATAATTGGACTCATTTAATTTTACTAAAGTAATTTTTATCCTCACATGTTTGGGAGGACTGAAGGTTTCGGGTTTAATTTCATTAGTCATGAATGTATGAAATAAAAGATAAAGGAGGCAAGTTGGGTCAACCAAATACAATCACTCCCACAAGCCTAGTGCAATGTTAGGAACAACTTTTTTTTTCCCCTTAAAAAGAAGCGATTGAGATACATATCATTCAAATTTGAGTACATTTACTTTCTCACACGTGAACATAGTCGGGCAACACCACATTATCCAAATCTGAGCATCACCACACTGCCACTTTTGGAGTAGATTAGGGAAGCACCTATAGCATGAAAACTTATTTTTTGTTTTTTAGAGAAAACTTATGCGAATCCCCCACGGTTGTGCATACAAACATAAAAAATAGGCAAAAATTCTGCCATTGATCTCGATCTTTAAATAGGAAGTACACGAACAATAGCATCACCATACTAAACATAGGCCCAGATGGGTTTCTATGAATGACAAAAATTGATGTCTGTATAGGTGCAGAAAGCAGCCTGGTTTCAGATGCCTAATAACTTTAGATTTTTACCTTCTCAGCCGCCTGATCTTCTAGACAGTCTAGGCACCTAGACGGCTGCCTAGACCTTTTTCTATAAAAAGCTTTATCTGTTTATTACCCCCCCTAAAAAAAAAAAAAAAAAAAAAGCAGAAAGGAAAAAGAAACAGAGGCAAGCCTAGTTTTTTGAATGCAATCTTTTAGGCACTGTCTAGCTCTTTGAATACAAATTTTTATTTTTTAATTGACATGTACTTTTGAATTTCTATAGAAATTTAATGAAATTCATGATCACATACTAATGGTCTATGTACTGGATAATATATATTATATCCAGACCATCAATATGCAGCATTTTTTTATGTAAGTTACTGGATGCCCGTAGTCTTAGATTACAAAGACAAAATGTGTACATCTACACGGAAATGCTTCTTTTATGTCTAGACTCACTCTCCATCCCTACCAATCTGTACCTCACCCCTAATCTTGAGCATCTGGTCCCTTCACCTCTCCATAGGCTACCGTTGTCCAAAACGTTCAGACTGCCACATTTCCTGTTGTCTCTTTCATCATGTCTATGATGGAAAAGTAACTAAATGTCCTGTTTCTACCAGTTAGGCTTTCGATCTTATCTTTGGCAGAGAAATGGGCACACAAATGAGTTTAGATAGAGAAATTTTTTCTCCATTTATTTTATTGTGCTATGTCTTAAGTTTTTTGTCATTTCTATGTGTTATCTAGGCTGCATTCATGGCACTCGTTGGAGCGGGTTATCAAACATTACAGAGTTTGCTTTTGGACTTCAGCCGCTGGCAACCAAGTGGGGCATTTCTGGATGCTCTTCTTGATATGCTTGTGGATGGAAATTATGATGCAACATCTAATTCTGTGATAAAGGTAAATCATCTTCCGAACTTAAGAACAAAAACTAAAAGACTTGTCTACAGATAACTAATTGAGCTGTAACTTTTTATTGAGCTCATATATAAATCATTAATTGATGCCTTCTTCTTCCTCTCTCTCTCTCTCTCTCACACACACACACACACACTCGTCTCTCTCTCTCTCTCTCTCACACACAC